AAAAAATACGCCCTGTCGTTCACCAACGTTTCCTCCGGCAAAGTTACGTTTGACTCCATGGTTGATCGCGTCTTCATGGACGAAAAATGGTTTTTCCTACGCAAAGTCAAGAACAAATTCTACCTGGCTCCTTGGGAACACCTACCGCAACTCTGAACATAAAGCAAGCGCTACATCCCAAGCGTTATGTTCTTGACGGCTGTCGCGAGACCTCGAATGGTCGACGGTGCTTTTTTCGACGGCAAAATTGGAATCTGGCCCTTTGTTGAGGTTTTGGCCGCCCAACGTCGAAGCAAACGCAGAGAGGCTGGCCCGATGGAGACAAAGGCCGTGACTTTCACGAAGACTACGTACAGAAGAATGCTTGTCAGTAAAACTTTTCCTGCAATCTTCGACAAATTTCCCATGGACGTACAACGTATTGTGGTTCAGCATGACAATGCGAAGCCCCACACAGTCTCATTCGACAGCGAGGTCATTGCTGCAAGCAAGCTTAACCGTCGGCATATTGTGTTCGGTGACCAGCCAGCAAACAGCCCGGACTTGTACGTCCTTGACTTGGGCTTCTTCAACTCGATCCAGTCGCTCCAGCAAAAGATACCCGCTTTCACCGTTGACGAGTTGATCAGTAACGTGACGAGCGCTTTTGCCAACGTACCTGCCGAGTCGCTGGACAACGTGTTCTACACGTTACAGTCTGTCATGGAATGCATATTGGAGACTGGCGGGAGCAACAAGTTCAAGCTGAGACATATTGGCAAGGAAGCAAAACGTCGAAATGGTGAGCTCGAAGAGTCGTTGACATGTTCTGCTGACACGTACCTTGCTGCTCGTCTTGCTGACCTTTGATGGAACCTCATGTATTTTTGACCAATATAATTGATTGTACTTCATATTCATCCAATAGTGTGAAGTGACGACAATCATACCCGGTTTTGATAGTATGAATGACGACAATTCAAACCGGACAGAGGTAGTAATACTTTCAATGAATGATTTTTTTATGCCAGTGAGCTCAAGAAGTACAAAATTTCAAAAGAAAAGGCAATCTGGCTTGTGAGATACGAATGAAGGTCCCCCGGATGCCTTCGCGGACTGTCAATCTCGATCGTTCATTTTAGCTGGTCATGAACTTGACCGTTCGACATGGTTGCTCTCCACATACAGTAGTACCCCCCCAATCGAGAGTACTTTCACCACGCCGAAGTCAGCGCTGTCAATATGCGGGCTCCTTTCGCTGACGGCAAGAATTCAGTGGCATGCAGCCCACGTAATGTGTGACCACCGCCGTTCCAAGATGGGTTGGTGCGTCCCCGGGAGCTGAATTATGTGGGCGTCAGTCAGTGTATTACACCAGAACACTAAGTGGTGCAGGAGCTCGTCGTTTCAAGTGTTCGTTTGCAGTGAGCAGTCACGGCTATGACTGATTTTCCATGAGCGTGCAAGGAAGAGATTTCGACGAGAAGATCTGTGGGGTGCATGTTACTTCAGCTAGAATCACATGACAGGGCGATCAAAAAGCCCGAGTCGACGACCCAAAACGTATGAAGATGGAGGACTTCGTTCTTGAAATGTTAACTTTCGCCATCTCGAATGCATTCGTCTAGACCAGAGTGGTCGTGGTCGCGGTGTTGGTGAACGCGACTTGGTAGGCAGGAAGGGTGCTGCGGGGACCAAACGAGCAGTGGCCAGGAATGTACGCTTCGACTTCGGTCGCCATTTGGGCAATCGTGCAGCAGTTGCAGAAGTATGCACACAAGAAATCTTCGCATTCGCTGCCTTGAATGTGATGGAAGCGGCGGACACGCGTGCGCAGCAATGCGAGAAAGAGCGCCGGCAAAAGCGCGGTCAACGCGCTCAAGACGCCATACGTCACGACGCGGTTGATGCTTTCAGGGTTCCAGTGACCTTCATCGAGCTCGTAATCGTCGATTTCGGATTGTGTCAACCCAGCAAACGTGTGATGGGTGCAGTAGATCACAAAGAGCACTGTCAGCACACCACAGTACCCTCCGAAGGCTCCAAGGCGGGACGCAATTTGCGCCACCGCGACGCACGGGCAGAACAGCGCCATCAACGCTACACAAGTTTACTTGTTAACTGGACAACCTTGATGGAACGTCAACGTACTGTTGGGAATCGACTCGAAGCACTCGAACAAACCGGCCTTCCACATCGTGCTGGCAACCACAGGTATGCCATACGGTCCTTGCGCCGGTCCAGTGACGTATCCAGTGTAGTGCGGTGGAAACGGGATGGGCTGCGGCGGCACGAACGCAGGCTGGTACGCAAGCGGCGTCTTCTCGTCGACGTGGGACATCGCAAAATGATGAAGGTCCAAGTGGTCGCATGGCAGGAATGTGTGTGCGACTGTTACCTGCACTCTGATCGAAGAACAAAGGTCCTCACGGTGCCGACGAACAATGGAGAGAGGAAGTAGCGGGACAGTGGTTTGCTTCATGAACACGTTGGAGTTCAAGTCCACTACGTCCATTCATGAATATATTCACTCGATACAGCGGCTTGAACAGCCCACGACAGCCATCACAAATACACAACTAAACCTCCTTTGTTATTTTGCATCCTCCATACTTTAGAATTGGACTGACTATGCATGGTATACACGTACAGGTGACAACGGGGGAACGCTTCTACCACTGACCCGCCGTACTTGGAGATGAGGGCTTCATGACAGGGCTGCACCACATCCAGTCCGTCACGACTTGGTCTTGGCACACGTGGAGGGGGGCGCCGTTAAGGCCACACCCCCTCTCGTTGACCACTGAATTCGTCCATGTGAATAGCCTTCAAAAACACATGCTATAGAATGTGTGATACCTTCCAAAACTTATGTGTAAAGACTTGCTGGGCGTACTATGATCAACATTCGTCGTGCGTGAATGTATGTCAATTCTCACCCAACCACCGACATATGCAATCTCGACGACACTATGTAGCAATCTCTATATACTAATACCTTTATGAATTGATAAATTGCTTTTTGACGATTTCTCTCGGCGACCGTGTTGCCGGAATATGTGGATTTCACAGCAATTTTTGAATGCACCCAATTCGTTGCATAAAGTCCTGAACGTATAATGCTGAAACTACGAAACGCCTTGTGAATATCCAATATCAAATGTCACACGTACGCTTTACAATATTTCTCGGAGAAGTGATATCATTCATGCTGCAGAAACCCTCGATTCAAGTGGATTCACCTTTATAAACGTATTCCTTGTCACTATCGATAAATGACCGTAGCGTTTGGACGATGTGGTACACTGTACAGTAAAATGTAAAGTGCCATTGGATGTGACAAGCGCGTGGTTTGGGTAAAAAACGTTTTCATCACCCTCTCAAGCTGTTTTGTAAGCGTTTTGAACATGGACGCAATGACAAGACTGACTTCCACCTTTACCTCCGCCGCGTGTTATGTCGCCCTCGAACCCTGAAGCGGCCCCGCTGCACCGCCGAGAACAAACCGAGCCGTCGTACCAAAAGGACCTTCCCGATGCACACTTCCCCAGTGTGACAGTCCATGGGCTACCTTCGCCTGCGTGGAAGGCCGGGATCTGTGGTTGTTTCAGCTCTGGATGCAACAACGGTACGAACGTCACGTCCTCGACGTGAGAATTGAACTGTGGTTATGTAGTGATCATGTCCACCTTCTGCCAATGTATCGTGCTGGCACAAGTCGCCTCCCGACTTGGGAACGTGTTTGGCGGGTACACGGGTGTCTTGATCGGCGTGTTTTCGTTCGCCACCCTCGGCAATCTCTTCCGCGTGTACGCTGAGCTCGACTGGTACTCGATTTACACCCATGGCCGCCCTGTCGACATCTACCTGGAAGCGGAAGCCACTCGATTCAACTTGGCCGCGATCTTTGCGGCATTGGTAATTGTTGTCTTCGTCGCGTGGCTGCGCCATCGCGTCCGCTCGTTCTTCCGCATCCCGGGAAGCCCCGCCGAAGACTGTTGCTGCTCTTTGTTTTGCCACTGCTGTACTGTCGCGCAGCTGTCTACCCAAGTCGAAGTGTACAGCCCAGGGCAGTGCTGCTCTCTCGGTCCTCGAGACACGTTGCCGGCATACTACGTCGCAGTCCCATTGCAATAGATGTTCCTATGGAATGCAGAGTCAAGTGTTTTGAGTAAAAAAGCTTTGGTGTTGGCCATTGACATTCACCACTTCATGTTGTGGTGGTGAAAGCTGCAAGGCTCACCTCGGATAGAGTGCACATGAGTCAAGTCTTCCTCGACATGAGCTTGTTCCATGGAGCTGACGAGCGGCGTGCATTGCCCGTGTCAAAGAGGCCGCCGATGAAGGTTTGCTCGTGTGCTTTTCGCGGATCGGCGCTGACAGAGATGGCCTGCTGTGCACGCCGCTTGCCATCGGCTGGATTATCCTTATCTTCGTTGGCATGCCGCATAGCAAAACGTTTTTCGTCGTATCCGGAAGATCGACCTTTTCAAAGCATGAGGTGTTGCGGCGGGTGCATGCCAGGAGCTGCCTTCGTTGGTCAAGGTAAGTCCCCTCAAGATTGGCTTGGGCGACGGTGAATTGCGTGTGATAGGCGTGCTTGCGTGCTGCTGTCCTTGTGTGTCGTTGGCGCAGATCAGCTCCCGACTCGACATCATTGGAGGGTACTATGGCGTGCTTTGTGGTTCGTGTGGTGCTGTTGTCGGGGCATTAGCTGCGATTGTGGCAAACGTGCGAAGCCAAAGCATTTTGTCAGATCCATCACTTCATTCTACATCGTCGGCCGACGACAGTTTGCAAGCACCATTTGGTATCGCGACGCTGTCGTTGGCCTGCTCGGTCGCGCTCGTTGTCTATACCACGCTGCTGCGAGAACATCTGCGCCAAAGGCGGGGAATCAAGAGCTCAATCGTGGCCGACTACTTGTGCGCGGCATGCTGCCCTTGTTGCTGCATTGCACACATGGCGATCGAGGCGGGGACCCCAGAAAGCTACAAATCGTGCCCCATCGGTCCATGTGCAGTTCTTCCTGCTTACGAACCAAAGTAACGTCAGTACATCATCCACGGGAGTTTTGCCATCACGCATCTTTTGATCCATGAGGTCATGTACAGCGCCGGCAAAGGCTTTCAAAGTCATGACCCTTCAACTCCTCCGCAAAAGAAGCATTACGTCCACAACTAAATTAACCGACTACTTTGAGATGACTGTGCCTCGTCGCGGCGAGCGCCGCGGCGCGCTGGCCGGCGAGGCGGCCAAACACGACGCATTCCGTCAGCGAGTTGCCACCGAGGCGGTTGCCGCCGTGGAGACCGCCGGACACTTCGCCCGCCGCAAACAGCCCCGTTGCGACGTTGTGGGTGCCCAGCAGCACTTCGGCATGTTCGTTGATCTGTACGCCACCTGCCATCCAAGTATGAGCATCGATCGTCCTCCAGACCAAAAGCACGCACCCATGCAGTAATGGACCACGGGCTCCACTTCCAACACATACATCGGCCGAAGCTCCGTCACGTTGGCAAACGCCGTTCGGCCAAACGCGTCCTTGGTTTCTCCACGTGCACCCTTCAAGTACGTGTCAAATTCGACGTCGAGCACGGTCGGGGGCACCCCCATGACGTCCGCCAACCCTTCCAGCGTCGGCACGACCTTGACCAGCCCAATCTTCTCGTAAAAGCCGAGCCCCAGCGCCTGACACGCCGCCTGGACTTGGTCCGTTTGCAGCAACACGAGGAACGACCGCTTCTCCGGCTGGGCCAACATTGCGTTCGACACTTCCTTCCGGGTCGCGAGTTCGTTCACGAACCGATGGCCTTGCACGTTGAGCAAGATGCCGCCGGCGCCGCGAAGGGCTTCCGGCGCCAAGTACCGAGTCCTAATGCCCCCGCGTCAGATCGATTGGAATGACGGAGGAAGATCGTACGATTTGTGGCGATCCTTCGGGTCGATGAACCCAGTGGGATGCAGCTGCACCTTGTCCGTGTCCACGAGCGCCGCACCCAACGCCGTCGCCAGCTCCAAGCCATCGCCCGTCGCCCACGGCCCGTTTGTTGTCGCAAACGACTCCATGCCCGGCGCCAACGATTTCAGCAACGCCGTGTTGGCCGAATACCCACCTGAACCACACGTGTCAAACGAGCATGCAGCACCGACAAGAACATGCAGTCGTACC